GAGTCTAGTCTTCTGAAAATTTAACTAAAGTTTATTTTCCTGGCACCATTGAAAGACAATGCCAGTGACTTCCGCTGCCCTTATTTCCAAATCTTGTCGTGATTTTGCCTCTACTCCAACAGCAAAGTCGTTCACATAAGCAGATGGTGTATACCCGACAGCTCTCAATTTAACAAGAAGAGGGTTCATGTTGATATTCCATAGGGGGAGTTCCAAAACTGATTCCTGAGCACAATCCAGTTGGACTGGTCTCGTTATTATCGTTCCCAGTAGTTGATAGTAGACAAAGCGCTTTGATGAAAATGATAATATGAGCCTGTATATATTTCTGGGGCATTTTAGTTTCTTTAGCTCGTCCATAATGGCAGGCCACCACATATTATCGAACGCGCCAGCAACATCGTAGAAGAGGGTTGCAAAATATTTAGAGATTGAGTCATTAACTGTTGATATGAGCTGATTGATGGCATCTGTTGTTGACTGTCCTTTTCGACCTCCGAATTGATCAGGAGAGAGCAAGTCGATTACGTCTTTTAGGCGTTGCACCATTAGGCTTTCCAGAACTTTCCCCATTACATTTAGGAGGCATATTGGGCGGTACGAATTAGCAGTTACTTCTGTTATACCTGGCTTCAAGATAGTAACCAGCTCAGGCTCCTTCCAGATACAAAGGAAAATGCCTTCGTTCAAGCATCGGTTGTAGAACATAGTTAGAGGGTTAATCAGCGCTTTTTTTTTTTTATTTATCAAGATATCGGCCCCTATCATATCCGGTCCTGGTGCCTTTCCCGGTCGGAGTTGTCCTATGGCCAGCTCCACATCTTCCTCTTCCCATGGAAGCGCATCTTCGGTTTGCGGAAGTTCACACATGGCAATTCTTTTGTGTGCGTGGTCTTCTGTCTCTGAAGTTAGTTCGTCTTCAGGGAAGGATCTCACCATTATAGCTCTCACAGCCTCATCTGCCGTTCTGGTTGCATCCCCATTGTGCATAAACGATATGAACGAGTAGTATGGCGTATTAGTATTCGAAGTATGGCGGGGCTCCTACTCTGTTAGGCGCTATTTAATATTCTCGGCAACAGGTTCCCACTCAGCACCCTCCGTCACAAAACGTTCCAATGCCAGGTGATGACAGAGTTATATTTTCTCTCTCTCTCTCTCTCTCTCTCCCTCTCTCTCATGGTTTGAGTCGAAAATCTGAACATAGCCGGAAATCCAGTATATGCATATTACAAACAATATCAAGGATTCGAGGCCATTGAAAAAAAAATTAAATAAAAATAAAGAATATGGCTGCATGACTTTTCTTGGAGATCGGAGATCGAGCAATTGTCTCAGCCAAGCTTGATCCTGGGAACTGAGAACAGCTGGTCCAAAGTAAGCATATATATCGATATAATGATACAGCCTCTAGACACTGTTTATAACTGTTAACAGTAAATATCAACTGTTTTGATATACGCTAAACCTGTTTTGAGTAAATAATCACAGAGATTTTCCTTATACAGAACTATCCGATTTAGTAGGATATTGGTCATTAAATGGTAGGCATCCGGAAGCAGTTCTATGTTTCTGTAATTATTATATTTGTATATGGAACCTCTAGTATCCTTTCCATTTCTTGATTAGTTGTAATAGCTTGGCTCTAAGGTCTTTTCCATATCTTTAAACAACCAAGACAGGCATTTCTTTTTTTAAGCATTTCGATGGCTATAACAGATCCTCACAACCAGTATAGCTAGTATAGGTTTTCAACCTTTTGCGGATCGAGGTCTTCATTCTTCCATATTCTATGGTTAAGTTAGTTAATAAATTAATATTCTGTAGTTAACGTGTCCTTAAACGATTAATTAAATAAACTCACAAAAAATAAAATTAAAACAAAAAAATAAATCTTCTTATTAAAGAAATTTTTGAAACTATTTCATCTTTTTCTAATCAATCTCTCTCTCATTTACAAGTACAAATCACACCCATACTACCCACATACATACGTATGATGACAGAGAATAGTGTGTGTAAGTAAACTATTTGCAAAATCATAACCGAATGAACCTATTATTATAATCAATTGACAAAGTTCGTAAGTGTTATTGTTCAAAAACCTTGCCTCGCCGCTGATAACGTTGCTCACATCCTTGATGAAGGTTCTCCTTTCAAAGCTTTGTAATTGAGAGGACTTAAAGCGGTTCTTTGAATATAAATAAGTAAAAGGCAAATTCTTACTTCGTACTAGCAATGTGTTGGATTGGCTGCGCCTTCACGGAAAACCGAGATAAGGAAGTCCCAACATGACGCAATAACCAACATTAATTTATTTCTGCTGTTTTCCTCATAACTGTTTGCTTACATCTGTCAATATTTCTCTTAATTATTATACTTGTATTTTCAATTAAACAGTTAAGATACTTTACATTTAATAATTATTGGCTGAAAACTGTGAATATGAAGCGATTTTGTTGAGACCTCACAAAATGTACAATCAGTTACATAATATTGTATTTTCACTACTTAAAAGAATTAGTCCTCCAATCATATCTTTGACATCATATAAGGAGATAGCAGTTTACTAATACCAAAAATTAATGAGTATAAATAAATGAATAATATAAAGGGCATTATTTGAAACGAAAAGGATTTAAATTTAAAAAATCTGGTTCGTGCATCACACAACTTTTACTTACCGCTCTACTTTTAATAGGATTTATTCGATGATAATGTTGGGCTATCACAAAGTTTTTGAAGGGCATTTTTAACGGAGCTAATCCTTAAACCTTACAGCTAACCTGAAACAATTCATTAGGTCATTAAAATAACACAATCCCTATTTATTATATCGACGTTAGGCAACCGCGTAGTAACTCCGTCTCTCTTTGTAAACCACGTAATTCCAATCTCTAAACTATTAATGCTTAGAGAAATTTGAAGGTATATTTAACCTATAAACGGCTATGAATTGTACAACTATTAATTCTTAAGCTCTTATTCCTCCATTGTAAAATTTACTAAAACAGACTGGCGATATTTCTATTGCCTACCATCGACAGGTCAACACTTGTCACACCAGTTTTAAGTGGACAATGTTGGGATTTCACAGAGAGAAAATTCATCAAATTATTCACCAATTTTCTAAAATATAACATGATTTTTCGGGATGAACCGACGGTAGATATCTAATTATTTAAATATATTTTTTATTTCTTAATGATATTTACATCTGTATTGAAGAAATACATCTGATAAATATGAACATATAGATATAATGACTTGAAAACACTTGTTGAGAAACTACCTAATGTTAGCACTCTAATAATATGTCTTCATTAGGAGATCACGGGGCCATCTTCTTTTCAGACGCCTTGGAGGGTTATCGGGAATTGAAGAGAAAGCAAGGTTAGAAACGTGAGGGTTAGGATGATTCTGAAGTTTATTACGGAAGGATAGGTATCTGGATTGGGCCAGATTGAATCATAAGAATTATCTGTAAACTTAAGAAACATTAAGGTCATTATGAATGGTTTTATTTGTAACAAAGTAGGAAGAATTGAGGATTTTACGAAGGATTTTGGATTATAAGGATTGGATACGAGAGGAATTCGATGGTTTAGTGGAGCCCCATAGCTCAACTCCGTTAGTCCAAATAAACCTTATTGTAGTCATGTACATGAAACTTTTGTAATTAATTGGAAATTTAGAGCGTTTGTATAGTAAGTGTTGAAGTAATCGAAAACGTCGAGCGGTTTCTTGTCGTTTCAGTCTGGTATGAATCATTTAAATATAATATCTAATTATAACACTGATTAAACAGTAAATGTATTTAAGTTTTAAATATATGTTTTGCGCATTCATGAAATATTTGTAGGCTCTAATTCTTCATTAACACAAATATATTTTTTTTCTCTAAAATTCTCCGCTTTCCAACGATATATAATATACAACGATACATAAAGTCTGACTATTATTTTCGGAGATTCATTTTCGACTTGGGCAAGCATTTTTCTTTTGTTTTCTCCTTTATTCAATTATCGAATTCTTTCGTATTCAAAGTTATTCATATCGAATTCAAAGTTATATTTAGCCATTTTTAATAGTTACTGTCAATAAGGGAGAGTTATTTTTTTAAAATAAACCCAATTAAAGGTACTTCAGAGGAACGCGTGTATGAACATTGGGCATTTAAGCAATGTAAAGTGACATCAATATGCATAAGACCTAGCTTATATTAAAAACAACTTAATAATACACTGATGTACCGATTTTCATCAAAATTGTTAAAGTTGTAAAAATGTTTAAAATCGACGATATAAAGAGGAACTTCCGGTTAGCTGATTTTCATGGAAAAGGTGCTGTAACATGCCATGCATATACCTAATATAAATACGTAATATTAGTTCGCACTACTTTCCGCACTACTCCATTTTGCGGGACTTGGTTATTTGGACTCAGAGAGCTAAAAACGTGTATTTCCGTTGAAAACTCAGATTAAAAAATTTACAAGATCACAATACTTCCCCTTTCTATATATTACATAATAGGTAAATGAAAGTAAAAATGGAGTAAAACTGAGTAGAATTAATGAACAATCCTTTGGAATTCGGACTACTCACTACTCCTCAAAAGTAATAAAAGGAATTAATTTTTGGTTGGCGATGGGTCTAGCAAATCTGCACTCAATTCCACTTAGTGATTTGAGAAACTGGAATAAGCTATCTGCAAAGCACTGTAAACTAAGTTAAATAGTTTAACTTTTTTTATGAAATCAAGAATAACATCCACTAATACAAAAATTCATATTGTCCTAGGCAAGGGAAAGAGGAAAGTAAGTTAACCACAGTCTAAATGATGCTTATTTGGAAAACCATAAAAAGAGATTGACCAGGGGAAAACCTAATACCTTTTAGAATTTATTATGGTTATACGTCAAACGATGACTAATTCAGTACCCCTCCAACCAGATGTGGATCGGCTGGAGAACTGGTTTTTGACTTAAAAAGAAGGCAGTAAGGAGGGGGTGCAGTTTGTTGTGTTCGGCCTTCTGCATAGCAGGTGTCTTCGCCATGGCAAAGGTAATTCATTCTCGGAATATTTTTTATCAATACACTGAGGAGAGTTGTCCTTATTTAATTTCATAAAATTGGGCGGGAGAGGGGGTTTGTTTTGAAAATTTTTATGGGGACTTATGGAAATAAAGGTTTCGCAATAGTCATAATAAAAACTTTGTTATTCGGCTATTTGTCTAGAGATTCCTTTAATATAATCCCTTTAGAGATAATTTTAATTTGCCAAGAGATCCCTGATAGGCAGTTACTTACTTCGATTCTCATTCCAATAAACTCTACCACATTTAAAAGTTGTACTATTCAGCTGATGGAAAAACTTATCACAACTCAACGGGGAAAATCTGAAATTCCGAACATCTGTAACGCGTTGTCGCGAAAAACACGGGGAAAACACGCTCATTTTTTCAACTTTGACCGATCTTCCCGTTCAAGGTGTCATTTGATTCAACTTTCCGAGCCTAACAAATGTTGTCGAGTACATTTTTAGGATTAACCAAATGGATTAGCCGAAAATCGAAAAAAATGCCATAAATTTCAACCAACCCACCACTATTCAGATCAAGTTCAAATTTTATACGGATGTAGATGACTCAATGTCTAATGTTATTTTGGTTATTTTGCTTGCGATAAACTCAGCAGCGTTTAAAGAAGTGAAGAGACTACAACTCTTTTTTGATTATTTCAATCGACTCCACAATATCCTCGCTTCATCATAAATGAAAATGAAACACTTAAACAATTTTAAAGGATCAGTGGTGGTCGTGTTAGTTGTGTGGCACCTAAACAAATTGCCAATTGTGAAAATTTGATTTCCATAAAAATCAATCCAATAAAATCCCCATACAAATTTCAAACCTAAAAAAAGGTTAATATTTTATTTAAGATCTATTAATCTCCATGGATAGCTGAAGCAGAATTGTTAATTCATTTACTTTTTTTTTTATTACTCACCACTACCACAATACATATACATATGTATTTGTCCTATTAAACCGGATATATCTGTAATAGTCTGTGTCCCCCCCCCCCCATACCGTGCAACCCTCCACATCCCTATAAATTGCATATCGTTGTATTCCTTGTAACCATTTATTAAATAAACCAATGTTCCCACAAAAACAAGTGAATGAACTGCCCCAAAATGGCGTCCAAACATGGTAGAATGACGACTTCGATTTTAGAATCAAGATTTGGCTTAATGCGGTCAAAGTTGGTATTTTATTAAAGCTGGATGGTCATGATTATATTTTATGAGATAATAATGAAACAAGAAAAAATATTAAAAAATAGTTGGCTTAGGTAATAAAAAACACCAGTTCATTCAATTTTTTTAACAAAAAATTTTCAAGTTAAAAAATCAAGCGTCCTTTATAATTATTCGGCCAACAATAACGCAAAACGTACTGAAATGAAACATCTGGAGAATATATATTTCTTTCTAAAACACTGATTGCATTTTAAAATATTTGATGTGGTTCCGTAGAAAATGCACTTAAGCGGCAGAAAAGCGGTACTAGCGTAGGTGTCTACAGACCTCTACCAAACCATTCAGTACTCATAAATGGCCTATTTATAGTGCTCTAATATCGTTTTCGGTACATTATATCGATTGTATTAGAGAACAAATATTAATTAAATAATTTAATTGTCAAAAAAAATTAAACTTTTTTTTTTAAATTTATTATTTTATGTTCTTCCAGGCAAAATGTTTATATTTCTTTCATATGAACTTTGACTTTATAGTTTATAAAGATGATATAAGTGCCTAATAGGACAAAAATGGAGAATAAAAAACCAACTCATAGATAATTTAATTCTGCAAAAAAATTACTCTATTGACTTTTTGTGAAAATCCATTCTGAAGAAAGTTATTATGAAAAATATCTAAAAAAAAAAAACGTGCAAATTTACGATTTTAAAATCGTAATATCTTTTAAGGCCTGACGGGTTATAGAACTTATCTCATTCTATTCCACATAAGCAGAAAACAAAATCCATTTAATTTGGTAAGGTTCTACTAGCATCCGTTTGAGTTATCGACATTCAAAGTTTTGCATTTATTACTTAACACAACTTTTAAATCTTTCACCCTAAAGCGCCAATAATGTATATATTTGATTGACTTATTAAATTCCTCTGCATTCCTTACTATGCCTATTTATATGCACAACTTTTAGTAGAGTTTCGGCGCGTTAAATGTCAGTAGTATTCCCAGAAGGATTTTTCATTAGTTTGGATAATACCTAAAAAAATTGTTTTTCTGCCGTATTAGATACTTAAATCCTCTTTACCAACTCTAATATCAAAGTTCAAATGAAGAAAATATATAAATTTTGTCGGAAAAATAAAATACCGACTTGATTAAGTTTTGACCACAGTGCGCCGATCTCCTGTAGTTTTTTCCTCCAAGATCTCATTTAAGCTTTACCTTATAAGAAAAAAAAAATAAATGTGAAATGTTATATTTAAAATGATCAACTAAAAACTTCACAACTCAGAACTCAATAACTGTTTTCTATCTTGCTGTACATCATTAACTACATTATTATTCAACATGTTACCATCTAAATTCTAACGTCCAACAAACAAAAACTATAATAAAAACTTTTACTACTTAAACTCATGAAGAGCCTTATAATACACATCAAGGAAGTATGAAATGAATTTTTTTTTTATCATCATGGGACTGTTGCTCCGTAATTACAGATACAGAAAAAAATGCCTGTGTGGCCATATATTAAATTAAATATTTACAAATCTCATTAAAATTAAAATATTGGAAGAAGAAAAAAACAAAAACATACATATAAATATAAAACAAACCTGAGAAAATAAAATAACAAAATTATTTCTGGGGAACTTAAAAACTTCTCTTATCTAAATTTTGTGATCAATCGGGTTGGGAAAGGAGTAGGTGCTTAAAAGGGAGAGATTTAAATGAGAAAACTGATTGTGCATGTCGGATATGGGGAGGGATGTTATTCCAGAAGGAAACAGCATGAATTATAAAGGATTTGCCAAACGCAGCAGTTCGCTGAGGAGGTGGATTGAGGTCGGAAGTACGAGATCAAGTGGGACGGGATCGAATGGAATATTTGAATTGTAGGTTGTGAAAAATACAGGAAGGCCGCTGAGTTCTGATGGCTTGGTATAGAAAGGTAGTAAGGAAGTACAGACGGCGGTTGGATGGATAGAGCCACTTCATCTTGGTGTAATATTGGGTTATATGCGTATCTCTCGAGATTCCAAAAACAAAACATATTGCGCAGTCCATTAGGCGTTTAAGTTTGGCCTCGAATTCTCCCGAGAGTCCGCCGTACACCAAACAGCCATAGTCGAAGTGGGGGCCAGCAGTTGACGGGATTTATTTGGAAGGAGGTAGCGGAAACGGTTAAACTGTTTCAGGTTTAACTCTTTCTTTTCCTCTATGTAGGATACCACTATTGCTAAGGGATTAATACCTTTTTAAGGATGGGTATTGATCTACAGATAGCCATAGATTAGCCACAGCCAAACTTTAATCCAGACCCGAAAGAAAAAGTGCATTATTCTTGCATATTAGAAGTGCGTTACTTAGCTCCCTCACATCCTCACAAACAATAGTAATTTAAAAAAAAAAAATTCTTTATTTACATCTTGGTAAATAATTAACTATTCCTGTTGAGTCCATCTGGTAAATCTGATGAAATTTTTTTTTTTTTTTTTTTTTTTTTCTAGACCAAATCTATTCTTATGATTAAATATATAAAATAGAACGGATAGTAAAATCAATTTTAAAAAAGACATTTAAAAATCAAAAGCAAATTACTTTAGAGGTATTTGAGGTGCCTACGTTTGATTCGGTGTCATAGATTATTGAAAACAGGGAGAACATACAGAAGTACCGAACAAATGAATAGGAGCTAGTATATTTCATTTACTAGGATAATTTTATAGTTGAATTTAAAGTATTTATGTCCTTGAACGAATTATATTCCTCTCAAAGGCTCGATATACCATTACTGGTGGGTCCCTGGCTTCTTCTAATAACTTCCACCGGTTTTCACGCACTTGAGAGACAGTTCTCTGACATTCAGGAGCATCCTGGAATACGTCGTCATTCCATATAAGACACGTGTTAATGGTCTACGACTGTTATGTGAAGCCTAACCTCTCTCTTTATTTATTTTTTTTTTTTAGGACCTCATCCTTTGACATTCGAGGTCTAACTGATTATATTCACTGTTTTAGGTTCCATATTTCTTGATTATACCTGTTAAGGTTTGATTGACCGGTTCTCCTAGGCCTATGTACGCGAGAAATGATTCTTTCCAATGCCTATTAACTTGGTTCATCCAATACCGATTACCCATGACTGTATGTATATTCCTAGACCAAAGTAACATCAGTTAGAAATATGCTTTCTCCTTTCGATTTGCTTTTAAATGTCATTGCTCACAGATATAAGGGACACCAGGCAGACGAATCCACTTGTTGAATGAATAATAATAATACTTTATTTATTCTGGGACAAGTCCCTTTAGAATAATACATAAGGACAGTAATGTGGGCTAAGGAGCCTCAGAGATACATAAAAAGAAATGTTGAGTAATGAAATAGTCATATTAAAAATTATATGTTACTTTCTAACTTAGATAAGTTAATAATAAAAAATTGAAAATAAAATAAAAATAATTGAAGAACAATCTAATAATTTTTATACATATTTACAGTGGTATCTATTTACAATTTTATGGGGACTGGATAAATAAGAAATGATTGAACAGGCGGGATTTAAAGGTAGGAAGGGTATTGGATTGACGGATGTGGGAAGGGATGGAGTTCCACAGGGATGAAGATCGGATAATGAACAATCTGTCGAAAGCAGCTGTTCGGTGGGCCCTTATGTATACATCAGAAGACCTGGAACCAGTATTGCGGGAACGAACAGAGGATTTGAATTGAAGGAGCTCGGAGATGTATGAAGGTCGGTGGGATTGGATGACTTGAAAGAGGAATGATGCCAG